CCGATAGATTTGCTTTTGTATTTGTTTCAACAAAATAGGCCATTAATTTCTTTAGAATTTTAGATACGGCCTCCCTTTTTTTTTTTTTTTTTTTTGTTTATCCTGGACTTCTTCGTAATAACTCCTCAATTTTACGCTCCTCTTATAGCCTATATGGAATAATGGCAGTAGGTCGTAAGATTTCATTGCATACCTCGTCAACCATATACTTAGCCAAAGTAGGCTTGTTGCAAGCAGTGATTCCATGAGGTCTTCCTTGTCTATCCATGCCGAAGAAACAGATGGTTTCTACGTCTTCATCATAGTACCATGCTTCTACCATATTGGAATTGGCTAAGAACAGTTTGCTGTCAGCATGAACCACGTCAATTTTGCCCCCATTCCAAAAAATGAATCTTTGATGGAAAGTAGATGGAACACACCAATTCGAATGGATCCAATCACGTCCTAGGAATGCATTATAAGTTGTATAAGAGTCTACAACAAAGAAAGCACTTATTGATGTCTTGCTGCAGACAGTAAGTGCAACCGGCATCACTCCTTTCGATTTGCTAACATCACTTGTGAAATCACTGATGCTTACGTCAGTATAAACCAAGTCCTCAGAATTTTTACCCAAATTCCTCAACATAAAAGAAGGTATGACATTGACTGCTGCTCCATTGTCAACAAGGACTCAATTCACTGGAACTCCATCCATGTGAGTTGAAATGTAGAGTGGCTTTATATGACAAGCCACACTTTCATCTGGTTTGTTAAAAATAATTTGTTCTGAGAGGATATCATGCTCCTCTTCCTCTTCTTGGGCTGGAACCTCTATTACTTCTTCTTCAACAACCATACTACCCTTGGAAACATGGGTAGGAACATGGTTAGTCTTGTTGCCCTTGGCTTGAAAAACCAAAGGAAGCGTGAGAACCAAATAAGAGAGATTAATAGAGATGTCGCCGATCTGCAAAACATCCATGTCCTTAAGAAGATTATCATCACTAGTCAACTTCGTTTGCTGATATGCTTCAAAGGTTGCCTGCAACTCATTTTCATTGACGATCAGTCAGATGAGCTTATGAGGTGGCACTTTCGACTGAGATTCATTCTGGACAGCAACCTCTTGACTGTCCTTTCTCTTCCACACCATCCTTCCCTTTACGGGAGAACATTGTGGAACCTTAACTTCCTCAGTAGCTAATTGTTGACAGTGACATGCCTCTAGTCACTTCCGCTGTAACCTTTTTCTCAAAGTTCTAGGATTTTGCACAAGTTCTTTTGGAGACTTGGGATACACGACCTTCTCCCACCTTTTACTTGGAGGTTGTTATGGAGGCTTAACCATACGAGAGCGATCTGTATCCCGAGCCTCCTTCATCTTGGATCCAAAGGCATAGGTTCTGGCAACATGGCGTTGCCCCCCGAGCCTCTAATTCTATTGGGCACGATGTTCCCTTTCCTTCTCAATCACCTAACGAAGGTCATTTACAGCCAAAGTTCGCCCTTTATATGTTCTTCCAGAGATGCTTCTTATGTCAGCAACATTAACTCCAACATCAACGTTTGGAAAAGGACTCTCGTCAACCCGTATGGCTTCTTTGGGTTTTTAAGGGAAACGAAGCAGCCCGTTGTCAATCTTATACTGTAACACATTTCAAAAAATAACACAGTCATTAGTAGAGTGTTTCCAAGAGTTATGAAACTTACAGTAATCTTTGGATGCAATTTCAACAATCATCGGGAGCCTATGCCCCTACGACAGCTTAATATGTCCTAACTTTTTAAGATAATCAAAGATTTCATTTGCTTTAGTCACATCAAATGTGTATTGTCTCCCAAATTCATACGGGAGATGCTTTGCAACTACCTCAACCTGTTGAGTGACTTTCATCAGATTTGGATAAGTTATTGGCTTGTTTGCAAAGACCTCGGCAACATCAAGGTCAAAAGCATCCTGATAATAAGTTCTTTGGGATGTTGCTTTTCTTTGGGATTCCTCTCTTAAAAGGTTCTCATAACGTGCCATCTTATAAGAGAGCTCAAAGAAATCTCTAAATTCCATCCCCTCAAACTTCTTTCGAAATTCAATGTCTAAACCATTCTGAGCAAGCTTCACGAACTCTTGCTCTGGTAAGGCAACATGACATTTCATCTTGGCTTTTCTAAACCGCATAAGATAATTTTCAGAAGATTCCTTGGCCGTTGAGTCAATCTAGAAAGATCAGCCATGGATATCTCAGGCTCTGAGTGGTAGAATTGAATATGAAACAAATCTTCCATTTGTCTCCAAGTAAATACAGAATTTTGTGGCAGACTTAGGTACCATGTTAGTGCAGTACCAATTAAAGAACTTGGGAAGAGTCTCAACTTCAAAAACTCATCACCCGATGCTTCCCCACATTGAATAGTGAACCTACCAATGTGTTCAATAGTTGATTAAATCACATCCCTAGAAAACAAAGTAAATTCAGGCACTTTGAATCCACGAGGAAATGGATTATCCCGATCTATGTAATCTAGATACGCCTTGTGATAGGAACGACGAACCACTGGTCTTAAAGCTGGACCATATGTCTTCTGGACTAGATCAATTAGGTGATTTCTATCCAAGGGAGGGGGTGTTGCTTGTAGCTTTAATGGTTGAAAGGCATTATTCTGCAAGTTGGGTTGTGGGGTTGCATTTGGACGCCATGCAAGAGGTACATATCTTTGTTGATTGGCATTGAGTGACTCAGTTGCACGAAATGTTGCTTTCACAAGATCTTGTGGTCGAAGGATGCCACCAGCAGGATTGTTTTGCTGTTGCCTATTGAACTGCACCTGGACTGCACCAAGACCATTATTTTGAGCATTAGGCATCTGTTGCACCACATGCGGCTGATTAACATGCCCCCCGTGCCCCCCGGGCAAAAGATCTAGAAGATTTTGCTGTGGCAATTCCATTGTTGGAGGTACGGGTTGCCTTGGAACATTTTGCTGCTGTAGAACATGTTCTATGGTTCTCTCAGAAACTGCAATGAAGGTTTTGCAACTTTCTGCTACTTTTTCTCGAATAGCTCGAGAATTTTCATTAATGACCCTTTCAATAACATTCAGATATTGAGTGAAATGATTTGACTGTTGTTGTTGGGCTTGTAGAAAGCTTTCTAGACTACGCTTAATGTTCTAATTGGCTTATTCTTGCAGCTTCCTTATCTGCTAAAGTTCTTGAAATGTTTTATTGCTTGACTCAGCAAAATCAACCTTCTCCTCATCATCCTTACGATATATGGGATTGCCATATGAGCAATCAGCCAAGGGAGAAATAGGTGGAAGATGCTTCAGACTATTTTCATCTTCAGAATGTCTTTGACTCACAAGAGTGATTTCCACTTGTTGTGCAACTTCTTTTCCAACTCTCCTAGGCATGGCTATGGCTACTTTATGCCTAGGAAAAGCAAAAAGAGGATAGAAAAACTTTTCTTGATAGATGATCGCCAGTAGGACGTCCCACCAGGCGTGCCCAAAAAGAGATTGTTATCCCAAAAAATCTCCTTAACACGTGGCAGATGAAATAGCGTGCCACGTGCTTTGCTCAAAATAAGAAAGATTTCTCCAACGACTTTCTCTTCTTTCCAAGCGTGGAACTCAGCTTGTGAGTTGATGGAAGAACGTCATAAATTGCGCCTTAAAGATCAGAAGATTAGCAGAAATGAGGGATGAACTTCCTGCACTAAATGGGTTTTACGGCAAAATGCCTTAGATATGATTCCAAGGACTCCTCAAGCTAATGTAATCAAGAAAAGTTAAGACTACAAGGAAAATAAATGATCACTAAACTACTAAAAATCTAAATGAACTTTAAATACGCAAATTGGGTTGAAATAGAGCTTTAAAAGGAAATTTAATTGCAGAAAAAGTAAATTAAGTTAAACTAAATAAAACCGGAAGCAAGGAAAATCTACTGGTAGCATGAAATATAAATTAACAAAAATGGAATTGAACATGAAATTAAATGTCGACATCATTTGATTTAATTAAAGGAAACTTGGAAATAGAAAAGGAAAAGAAGCAATTTGATCACAAAGAAAAACTACTGAAGGCAATGAAACTCACCATTTCAAATCCAACAAATGAAGAGCTAAATTACTAAACTAATCTAGGCTGAAGCGTAGAGTTGAAATTAAATAAAAGGGCTTGAAACTAAGATGAATCTGAGCATAAAGAGAAATTGTGTTGAGTTTGTTATGTGAGATGACGATCCTTTGCTTGATCTTATCATTAGGTATTTATAACACATTGGCAACATAGTGGAGATCTGTGACAGCATCCTGAAAAACCAACGGCATCGTGATATTTGCAACAAACTGATTAATTTGTTGGTGTTGCGATTATCCTTCTAGAAGTTCGCAACAAAAGAATGGTTTTGCTGCCGTCATGAAAATAATCACTCAATCTCATCTGAAAGATTCACACTAACTTTCAACTAATAAAATATCTACCAACATGAGTGACACGTGTCAGCACTTTATTTGTTGTAAAATTAGGTGTAAACAGATTGAATCAGTTTATGTCGGATCAATCAAATTGAATCGGATATGAACACCCTTAGTGCTAATTTTAATCCCTCAATTTTAAAATTTGACACAATTTTCGTCCCTCAACTTTTTTTATGCTTTTTTCATCCATCAACTTTGACTAATGCACATTTTTTATTTTTCTATCAATTAATCCATTAAATTTGTTCAAATATACACATTTGTAGACCTTAAATTTATAATATATATTTTTAGCCCCTAAATTTATAAATTTAAAGATTAAAAATATGCATATATAGATAAACTTAATGGTTTAATTGATAAAAGAACTAAAAAAAAAACTGTATTTCTAGAGTTGAGGGACTAAAAAAGTGCTTAAAATAATTGAGAGATGAAAATTATACAAAATCTTAAAGTTGAGGGACTACAATTGGCATTTAACAGGGATACAGCCCCTATGGTGTAGTCCACCGGTTGCAAAATATCCGAGACAAGATACTTATGAGAAGGGGAACCAGCACACTAATTCAGGAAGTAATTAATCACCTTTCAGAAAGAAAATAAAGCTACGAGCAAGAAAAGAAAGAAAATATGTTGCTTTCAGGTTAGATACTTCACATGATTCCCATGTTTTACGATAACATAGATTTAGATTAATGTGTTGTAAAGAAAACTTTATGCATGTGTTAAACCACCACGAGTACACAACAAAGTCTAACTACAAGCGTCAGCAGGCTCCTAGTTCTATTCCGCATAATCTGAATTTCTGGTTTGTTAAAAAAGTGCACACGAAGAAATTTTTTCTGGCCAAAAATTCAAGAAAAGAAAGAAATCAAAAGAAGATAATATTTGTTTGAATTCAATACAAAGCACATCAATTGCTTCATTTGCACAATGTTCACCATCTCCAAGTCTCAATCATAAAACTAATACAAGCAGGAGCATCAAATTTTAATCCTTTTACCAGGAAAATTGCCTTATGCATGATTCCGTAAACTGCTTTTCAAGATCCAAGTCTCCTCAGCTTTTCTGTCACTAACAAAGTTTCACCTGTCAGAAAGAAAAACAGAAGAGTAACATCAGGTGATAAGAATACGATGCTGTCAAAATCACATTCCATAGAATATTGTAAACCGCCAGCCTCTACAAGCTGGACCATGATACACCACAGCAGTTATAAGGTCCCTACTTATATTGCATGCTTGTGACTATATACTGGAATAATTGCATTAAAGCAGGTTTATATAAGAAAACGCCTAGTGCATAACATATAAATTAGGAAAGAGATGGAATGAGGAACCATAGTGTTTATTTGGTTCAAGCAAACTGCTCACCTATTAGGAGATTGTTGCTATGGAATTTCCTAATGCGAAGTGCTACCAAGTACCAAGCCAGTTGTTTTTGGTTTGTATTTCATCATGAAAGAGAAATGTTTTCTATGTTGGTTCATAATTTCTAAAGAGTTTGGAAGGTTCTAAAATTTGTTCCTATAACAAATATGGAAATACACTAACAAAATCAACTGAGCTAGCAAATTGGGAAATAAAAGGATTTCCCTCATATGCCTGACATACAAATGGTTCTTTGATACTTTCTGAGCCAATCTCATTGAAAAATGTACTACTGTAAGCCTGCAGTAACATTGATGATCATCAACATATATTAAGACTAGGGATTTGGGAGACCAATAATCTTGACTCTGAAAAGACTGTTGTGGAGACCAACATTAGTCCACATGTCAAGTGCATAACTTAATGACAAACCATTTTGTACAAAACCTTTGTTTTGTTGCTGGCAAAACTGCATTTGCTTTATAATCAGCTCAAAACACTTCTAACATAATGCATCAGAGGCAATCAATAAAATTCAATAATAAGAACATGGGTTCTGGACAAAAACAGCACCTAATTCATTGTTTGAAGCAATTGTCAAATGGTTGAACTATCTGCTACAAATTCCAATGCACAATATGATGATACCTTTCGAAAAATAATTCCCTTATATCAGCATTGTGATTTTAATTTTTACTCTTTAGAGATTCAAATATTATATTGTAACCTCAAATGCAACTCAACAAATTCAAGTATCAAGACATTATGAAATATAACACACACTTAAACAAGCATGCTGAATGAATTGTAGTAAAACCTTAAGAAGTTGAAGAAGGTGGAACTTCTTTCTTAATATTTGCACTTGCTACACTATCTGCTGCTGATGGGGGCACGTAGATTCGTGCTTTCTTGAGAATTTCAGCAACTACCCAATGCTTATGCTTGCTCAATGGCCTAGAAGGATCCAGTCTGACCTGAATTCACATAGAAAATTCAATAGAAATAATTGCCATACACGTTAACGAATACAACCAACTCAAATACAGCTCAACCTTAATATTTCAATTCACACTCTTGACAATCCTCAGCTGTTTATTATAGGCTAGCATAATATGAGCATTATAAACGGCCCATAGAGGCTTCCTAAAGCCTTCCTACTGCAATTTACTGACTTCTTCAGATCTAATCCCTAATTGATTATCCACCCTTCTCTTCCCTTACTTTTAAAGAATCATTACAAGTCCAATCTGGGATCATGGTTTAAGACCCCATCCAACTGCATTAACATAAGCAATTTTAATTCAGTAAAACGACTCTCAATTTTGAAACCCAGAATAGTTACAGCATTTGCTAACATTTAAAAGACATAGATCGAAGTGACATTAGAACAAAATTATGTACCAAGAAGACATACCCGGTCACCGATGTTGCAAGTGTTGTTCTCGTCGTGGGCCATGAATTTGGAGGTGCGCTTGACATAGCGGTTGTAAAGCTTGTGGTGGAAGAGCCTGTCCACTCCCACCACCACTGATTTCTGCATCTTGTTAGAGACAACCACACCCACCACCGATTTCATCTTTTCTCTTTGATTCAGTCCTCAATTGCTATGTATTTTCAGCTTCCTTTCTTCAACGAAAGCAGGCTTAAACCCTCCTTCCCTCTCGCAGCAAAGAGATTCGGAAAAACCCTTCCGGCATTATTATTATTATTATTATTATTAAAAGAAAAATGATAAACAAAAATGAGAAATACTCCTTCGATCATTTCTTTGGGCCTTGTCTTTTTTCAGCCAGATGATTTTGGGCCTTATCAAATAAATTGGAGCGCACAAATTAGCCAGGCGAGTTGTTGGGCTTGTCGTCGCATGGTGGACTTGGATCTGGGCCATTTGGCCATATCCCATTCCTTGCAGAATTAACTCAGTCAACCCCTAATTGCCTCATTACAAGTTCACCAAGAGCTGGTGGGGTTATGTTGTTGTCGTCACACCCTGTCATATATATTTTTTTATTATTTTAATTAATTATTATATTTTTTAATTTATTAAGAAATATAAAAGGTAAAATTTTCAAAAAAAAAAAGTGATTAAAAATGTAATATGTAATTATATTAAAAAATATAATATTAATTATTTAAAATATGATAATAATATAAACAAGCGAGTGAATCCACTTTTTTAATATAAATAAATAATCTAAGATATCAGAAGAGGGTAGATTAATTATGCTAATCTAAAGTCGGTGATTTATCAGCCCATACCAAATAAAAGTTTCTCCAATCCCCATGACAGATTGACAGCAAAAAGCTGATGGAGACCACTAATTCAACAGCTATGTTGCTTGCTTCTCCAATCGTAGAAGTGCACCACAGACAGGCAACATGCCTTGTTGTCATCCATCATGTTTCTGTCTCTAATTAACCTGGAATCAAAGTTACAAATCTGTAACTTTATGTAATATTTTTTTGATTAATTTTAAGAATATAGGAATCACATCCAAATAGATTCAAAATATATTTCAAAGATTCACATAAATAAAGATGTTTATCAATTACTTAAATAAATTATTGATAATTTTTTTTATAAAAATATGAGATATTAAATTTAAACCACATAATAATAATAAAAAAAAAGTATTTATGTAACATGTAAGTTTTTCTGTGTCCATAAAAAAAAGAAAAAAATTACCTGTGACATTAGAGAGGCAAGGCAGGTGTTGGAACGGGATCAATTTGTTCTCCTTAGAAAATGTTTTGGAGAACATTTTGAGTGAAATGTTGACTTTTTTGGTGTCGATAGATCGCACGTTGCACCATGGCTTGATGAAATAGGCAGCATCGAAGTCTCTGTCTCCACCAACCACAACTACCCTTTTCCCACTTGATCGTTTCCCTACCTTAAATAAATTATACCTGTTCAAAAAAAAAAAAGAAGAAGCCAATATTCTATACTTGTACAAATATTTCAAAGATGTAAATGCACATAACGATTCACATATGATCTTTCCCATCATACCGACGTAATATTCGTAACTTAATTCTTTTTTTCATTCAGCATATGTAAAAATTGTTAAACTAATTTCATATCACATGAATGTTATAAGAGTCAAAGTTTTTATTTGTATTATATATATATATTTTTTTATAATCAACAGTTGAAATTAATTTTTATTGGAGTCAATATTTTTCAAAACTTGTAAATAACTAAAAAAATTAATGATTAAAACTTTTATTTACATCTTAATTTTGTGGTCAAACCCTCTATTTACTTCATGATTACATAGATTTTAAATTATAGATAATATTGATTGAGAGTAAATTTCTTAAGGATATTAACCATAAAAAACTAATATATAAAGTGTAAATAGAGGATTCAATGGTATTATAAGTGTGTAAATATTTACTTATTTTAATAAATAAATAAATAAACCTTCAAATATATACAATACTGATTTTATTTTATTTTATTTTTTGCAGTAAATAACAGTATTGAAGTAATTGACATTTGCATTCAAATTCTTCCGTGAAGAAATCAGCGGAGTTTTGGTGGCCAAACTTAATTACTTCTAAGTTTACCAACCAAGCGTTGCCGTCCAAAGCTGGTCACCAAGACCAGAACTCCATTCAATGCTGGGCAAGTTCAAGCCGTCTAACGCAAGCCCTTGCGCTGCTCTTGCCACCAACCTCCATTCCATCTCCCTCTTTTTTATTTTTATTTTTTTTTATCAGCAACCTCCATTCCATCTTGTTTATTTATTATTGGGCATTCGGGATAATAATTTTTTTTCATTCCATTGGGTTGAGACTTTTAAGTTAATTAGGTTTCAATTGCAAATTCAAGAATTAATACATGTCGAGTAATACATAAAATTTGAAAGAGTTATCTTTTGCATGTCATACAAATACCAAATAAAAATTGCATTGAAACTACTTTGCGCCTGCGTTGCCTTTTTTTCAATGAAGGAAAATGTGAGGATAGGAGAAAACGTAAAAATAAAATTCTATTCATTTTAATTAGTAGAGCTCTCTTAATAAGATTATTTAGAATATGATGTATGAAAAAAATGTAAAAACAATATTACTTGTCATTCACTCAATTAAAATTTAAGGACTTATAATTTCATTCTCCTTTCTTATTCTTAAAATTGTAGTTGTTAAAAAAAAATAGTAATGAGATTATTTAATGTCCTCTGTGAAGACAGAGTAGGCTAAAGACTTATTCAACTCGATGCCCCTGCATTACCTAGTTTCTTAGTACATTACATACGCGCTAGGCAAGGCATTACACCAAACTAGGAATTAGAGACTCCCTTCTTCCTCCCTTCTTCTTCTTCATTTTTTTTTTCCTTATGGAAAGGATTAGACTGTTTTGATTTATTGAATCTTCCAAATTGGGACTTAATTTGGAATACTAATTCCATTTATTCCTTTTCTTATTTCATAGAAGAAAAATGTAGTATAATTTGGATTATATTAAATTATACTATAATAATTATTACATAAAGAGATTCTTATGAAAATGTTCAAAAAATTTAGTGATCACCATCTTATTATAAGAGATTTCTCATATTATGTATAAAGATGTAAAGTTTGAATTCCACCCTCAAAGATTCTCATTTTTATTGAATAATTTTTATTTTATAATTTGATGTAATTTAATTTATTTTATAAGTTTTCTTTTATAAATTCAAAAAAACAAAAGAATATTAAAGTTCAAAACTAGCATGTACTTGGATGGGCTATTGGGTTGTGTACAAATGCAGAAAATGTTGACAAACCTCTTTATTTATTTTTATAAATTCTGGAAAATGAAAACAA